ATAAAGGAAAATGCAATCAATCAGACTCTCGCTTCGAATTATCGTGAGAAAGCCAACAAGACCCAAAAACACATGGAATCTCAGACAGACTCAGGACGCTCGTCGTCTACACGAAAAGAAACCTGTTCGTGTGATTTTGGTTTCAAAAGAACAGCTGATTCCTCTCGATTTCACAGCGATTCATGGGACACATTCTTGCCCATCACTCGAAAGGGAGGCTTCTTCCAGGACTCATTCTTTTCCGGTATACATCGCGACTTCGATGCCTCCATCAGGAAGGTCCTCAATGCCTGGAATGACGCTGATCTCCAGCTGGCGGACTTCTGGGACGATGACGACTTCCACCGCAGCGACAGACTGGGCCGCTACAGGCAGCTTCGATCGCGGAACCTGTGGAGTGACAACCAGGCCGTTACAGTTACTTCGGATGATGTCAATTATAAGGTAAGTTGCATAATGACTACACACTTAATCAATTTATCTACGTCTTGGGAATCTTAATATGAATTTCTATTCATTTTATAAAGATTTTAGATTTAAAGATAGAAGAACCCTTAGGTTTAATGGACAAATAAGAATCTTTTTGTTTATAATCTACCGCAAATCATTTTACAGATCGTGTTGGACATGCATGATTTTGTGGATGGAGATGTGAAGGTAAAATTGATAGGCGAGGAGCTGTTGGTAGAGGCCCAGTCAGCCAGGTCCTCGTACACCTTCACACGCACATTTTCCTTGCCTGAGTCCATTGACATAATGTCCATCACATCTGTCATGTCGTCAGATGGCATCCTCACAATCACTGCGTCCAAGATGGTATTGTTCTAGTTTTTCTTGCAATTCATTAATGCCTTATGAAGATTTTACATAACTGAATTCAAAGTGTAACAGGCATCTGCATGCTTAATACGTCTATCTTAACCAACAGGAGAGTGAAACACAACAGAAGACTACTGTCATCCCCATTAGTGTCAAGGAAAGGCACAATGCATCAGAAGTTCACAGCTCAACTTCCTCGACGACCTCGGGAGTTTCTGAGGAAGCAGCATCTGGCCAAGGAATATCCCACACAGGCCAAGAGGAGGAACGCAAATACGCACGATGCTATCAGGAAAATATCGACGAGGACAAGACCCAAACTGTAGCTTCCAAGATCTCTAGCAACACACAACAATCATTACAGAAGCAATCGTCTGGCATCACAGATTTTGCTTCCACAAGAATTTCCAAATCTCTGGAAGCAAAGAAAACTCTTGGGAATTTGGAAGATGATTTCTTGCCCATCGCGAGGAGAGGAAGCTTCTTCCAAGACTCATTCTTCTCCGACATACGCCAAGGCTTCGACGCCTCTGTCAGGGAAATCTTGAAGAAATGCAATGACTCCGACCTCACGGTGACAGACGATATCAGTCATAGGGGCATCCTGAGCCGCTACAGGCAGCTTCGATCTCGAAACATGAGGGAAGAGGACCAGGCCTTCTCCGTCTTGTCAGACGATGCTACGATCAAGGTCAGTCCCCTTTCTGTGTATTAGGATTCACCATTGTCTAATATTTTTTAGATAATTTTATTGATTAAAAAGCATTTTATGCTTTACTCTTAGTACACGATTCTCATTACTTAATATATACTTCTGCACTGCGGATTGTAGATTTTCAAATATCATGACCATCATTATTCTATTTAGTTTACTTGTTCTTTATTTTGCCTTTTCCTTGTTATTATCATTGTTACCATTACCATTATTAACATTGTTATTATTATTACCATTAGAATTATTTTATCATGACTATTATTTTCATTCACTTGAAAAAACAAGCAAATTCATTTCAACTTCATAGATCGTAGTGGACGTGCATGACTTCATGTCCGGAGACGTCAAGGTGAAAGTCGTAGACGAGAAGGAGCTGGTGGTGGAAGGACGCGTAGAGAAAGAGGAAGGAAGTTCATCCGTCTCGTCACACTCCTTCAGACGCCGCTTTTCCCTGCCTCACCGCACTGACACATCACGCATCACTCCAGTCATGTCTTCAGATGGTATCCTCACAATAACTGCTCTGAAAATGGTAAATTACTCAACTTTTGTGTTAAGAGAACTTAATAGATCCTGTATGTTTACATTACATAATCATGTATAAACAGATAAATGTGTAAACTTTAAATATGTTCATGAAATTGCAATGTACCATTATCTTTAGTCTAATCATGCAGAAAAATTAGTATAACGTGGGTCTTATGTCACATTCAGGCAAGAGAACAACAGCAAAACACACACATGTACAATCATGTCTCTGTGTCCTTAAGATCAAGTCTAAATTTCAAGCTAATACCTAAATTGTTTAACAGCCAGAAGACTCGGAAGAATGCATAGTGAACAGCTCTACTGAGGAAGTTCAAGGATCCTCTGAAGTTCAATGCTCGGTATTCCCAACTAATGAAACAAGTTCTCTCCATGGGGAATGTCATGATTCTAATTTTGACTTTGTAGGTCGAAATCAGAGCAAAGAAACTATTGGCACCCAAGAATCCTCTGCAGAAGAGATGGCTAATGACTCGCCTGCTGTGTCTGATGAAATGAAGTTTTACTCCTTATGTCGCCGGAGTTCAATTGCCATGAATGAAGCATTTGACAATAGCTGTGCATCATGTGACTTTGGAACTTCTTCCCAGGATTCTCTTCTGTCTGTCATACCTGAAGAAGAAAAAGACTCTGAAACTGTTGAAGACTCCCAGCCGGCAATTGAAAGTATTGATCTGACAGACTCCCAGGAATCTGTTGACATTTTTGATGTTGAAATTCCTGATCTTAAAGATTCCCAGGAATCTGTTGACATTTTTTATCAAAGGGATTTAGAGGCAACTGCAGAAGTTTTTGATCTAAAAGACCCAGAAGCTGTAGAAATTCTTCATGAAAAAGATTCACAGGAAGCTGTTGCTGAGGCTCAGAATACGTCAGAAGCTCAGAACTCAAAGTCTTCAACCACTTTGGACGATGTCACTGAGGATGCCGTATCTGTGCAACAAAAGTCCAAAACTATAGAAGAGGAACTTGCACAGTTTTCTTGGCAAAATAAGTATGAGAACAAGTCAACAGAACAAGAGAACTTTAATTCCCAAACAGTCTCTGAAGGGATACCCGACAGCAAAATGAATCAGTTAGCAGTAACTGAGAGTTGCACAGACTCCCTCCAGTCATCCAGAGATTCTTGTATCTATCAAAAGGAAGTCGTCGATACTCTTGGGCAGTTGAAACTTAAAGATGCAAAACCGAGCACTTCATACACGGCACGTACAGAAAAGTCTACAGAAACTGTTGAATCCTTGAAAGGAACAAGACAGGTTCACAGAGATTCACCAGAAGAGCTCTTGCTCATCACCAAAAGAGGAAACTTCTTCCAAGACTCATTCTTCCTTGACACTCACCAAGACTTCAGTGCCGCTCTCAGGCAGGTGTTGGACAGGTGCAATGAAGAAAACTTTGAGAACGACATTAACCTCTGTTACACCGATATCCTGGAACGCTACAGGCAGCTTCGGTCTCGCGCTCTGAAGGAAGAGAATCAGGCTGTTATCGTTACATCAGACAAGTCTTGTCTAAAGGTTAGTTAATGCTACTGTCATTGTCTTTTATCAATATACTGATTACCATCGATAGCATAAGTAAATCATTACTAGACAATTCTTGTCTAAAGGTTAGTCAGTATTATTGTCGTTTTTTTATCGATACTGATTACCATCAATAATATGGGCAAATAATTACTAGCATGATTTTTTTAACTAAACACATTAAAAACATGTTGCCATATAAAAAAATACCCATTGTTTCCAGATAATTATGGACGTTTATGAGTTCATGAGTGGAGCTATACAAGCGAAGGTCGTTGATGAGAAAGAGTTAGTCATTGAGGGACGTGTGGTGAAGAGCGAAGGAACCTCATCCGAGACCTCTCACTCCTTCAGACGCCGCTTCTCTCTTCCGCAATATACTGATATCACTTCTGTTATGTCGTTAGATGGCATCCTCACAGTTACTGTGATCTTTCAGGTATGTTCCAATTATATGTTGCTAAGGACAACTAGGAGTAAATAAAAGATAAAAAACGAAGTCATATACACTATACAAATATAGTATCAAATGGTTATTTTGCAGGAAGGAAATACTGCTAAAAACTTCATTGAGACGGAAGCAAAATGCAACATTACAAAAGAAATTTTTGACTCACAATCACCTTCACTTTCTGCTGAAAAGCGTGCTTTATATATATATATATATATATATATATATATATATATATATATATATATATATATATATATATATATATATATATATATATATATATATATATATATATATATATATATATATATATATATATATATATATATATATATATATATATATATATATATATATATATATATATATATATATATATATATATATATATATATATATATATATATATATATATATATATATATATATATATATATATATATATATATATATATATATATATATATATATATATATATATATATATATATATATATATATATATATATATATATATATATATATATATATATATATATATATATATATATATATATATATATATATATATATATATATATATATATATATATATATATATATATATATATATATATATATATATATATATATATATATATATATATATATATATATATATATATATATATATATATATATATATATATATATATATATATATATATATATATATATATATATATATATATATATATATATATATATATATATATATATATATATATATATATATATATATATATATATATATATATATATATATATATATATATATATATATATATATATATATATATATATATATATATATATATATATATATATATATATATATATATATATATATATATATATATATATATATATATATATATATATATATATATATATATATATATATATATATATATATATATATATATATATATATATATATATATATATATATATATATATATATATATATATATATATATATATATATATATATATATATATATATATATATATATATATATATATATATATATATATATATATATATATATATATATATATATATATATATATATATATATATATATATATATATATATATATATATATATATATATATATATATATATATATATATATATATATATATATATATATATATATATATATATATATATATATATATATATATATATATATATATATATATATATATATATATATATATATATATATATATATATATATATATATATATATATATATATATATATATATATATATATATATATATATATATATATATATATATATATATATATATATATATATATATATATATATATATATATATATATATATATATATATATATATATATATATATATATATATATATATATATATATATATATATATATATATATATATATATATATATATATATATATATATATATATATATATATATATATATATATATATATATATATATATATATATATATATATATATATATATATATATATATATATATATATATATATATATATATATATATATATATATATATATATATATATATATATATATATATATATATATATATATATATATATATATATATATATATATATATATATATATATATATATATAGTGCTTGAGGCTAAGACTGAAAGCCAAGATGGATTGAATAAGAATGTGACACTACAGTCAGAGGATTTCACATCGGGGACAGAGATGTCCAAACTTGCTTCCAATTTCGAAGAAAACAATAGACTGAAACGCTTTGGGCAAGACTGTGACAGAGAGCCTCAAGAAGACAACAGCTATAATGTCACCGACACAAGTATGGGAACGTCCTCTCGTTTCACGAGTGTTTCTCAGTCTACCTCTGCAGTGAAGTCTTTTCCAGTCACGAAGAGAGGACTCTTCTTCTCCCATTACTTTTTCCGAGACAGTAGGGAGGATTTCCAGAAAGCCGTAAGGGAAATCCTGAGCAAATGGGGAGAGAAGTCGACTGACGATGACGAGATGACTTGCTACAGAAAACTGCGAGCACGAAATATGAGGGAAGATAATCAGGCAGTGACGTCTTCGGAAGATGAACATCATTATAAGGTATAGACATATACTAGTTTCATTTATTACTTTGTTAAGTAATATTATTTATGAGAACTCATGTAAACCGACTTTCTCATGTATTTTTTTTTCAGTTCGTCATTGATGTCCAAGACTTTATGGACGTTGGAGAGATCAGCGTGAAGGCTGTGAATGAGCGAGAGTTGGTGGTTGAAGGTCACTTGGAGAAGAAGGAAGACGGTTCCAGGTCCAGCAAGCGGTTCCTTCGTCGGTTCATTGTTCCTGGAGACATAGAGCTCGAGGCTGTCATTTCAGTCATGTCTTCTGACGGTGTGCTTAAAATTTTAGCTCCGAAGAGGGTAGGTTATATTTAACTATGCCTGTGTGTGTTCACACAAATGCATACATTTGTATATATATTCATATATATTCATATATGTATATATGAATATATATATATATATGAGTATATATACGTATATATATATTATACGTATGTATATTTACATACTCACACATGTATAAATATATATACAGATATTTATATTGTTATATAGAGATGGGCAGTACTGTTTATTATTTTCATGTATTGGAGGAAAAAGAAGTGTCTCTTCATATGCATATACCATATGCCTTCATATTTACAAAGGCGTGATTGTTAGATACATACTATAAATAATCGTATAAAAATCACATATGTTTCACGTTCCACAGGAGGTCTATAATCGAAAATACGTCTCGACTGATGAAGACATGGACGATGGTGATGCAGCGTTTACAAGGAAATTCACGAATGGACATCGTCTCGCCGATGACTTTTTGGGAAACAGAGATTCATCTTCGGATGACGGGGATTGTAGGACATTTGCCAGGCAAATCAATGATCGCAACCAAGTCGCTTTCCAAGAAGACGGCGACGAAGACTTTGAAAATGAACATATGCTCAACAAGGAGACCAAGATGAAAACTGACAAGGACTTTAAATTTGACATTCCAAGCTTTTCAACCGGAACCAGGGCTTTACACGTGGACAGAAGGGGTGTATTCACTGAAGACTATTTCTTCGCGAATGTTCGTGACAGCTTCAGCCAAGCAGTGAGAGAAGTGCTGGAAAAGGCTAATGAATGGACCTGTCGAAGTGACGCCATGCACAACTACAGACGTCTGCGTCAGCGCAACCTCAAGTTGGAAACTCAGGCTGTTGGCATCATTGACGATCAAGACTCGCACAAGGTGGGTGTAAATCTGCTTTTCACTTAATCCAATTTTAAATCACAATTCAAATTATTATTTCTGAGAAGAATGAATAGGTAGTTTCGTAATCAAATGTTTTTTTGTTTTTTTTTCCTTTTCAGATTGTGATGGACGTTTTTGATTTCATTAAGGGCGACGTGACAGTGCAGTTGGTGAAGGGCAAGGAACTGCTGGTCGAAGGTCAAGCTGAAAAACTGGAAGGAAGCAGAGTGTCCCAAGTGAACTTCGAGCGTCGCTTTGCGTTGCCTGAGCTCGTCGACCGAGACGCCATCAGCTGCGTGTTGTCCTCGGACGGAATCCTGACAATCACCTCCAAGAAGAGAGCATGCGAGTACAGGACTAGTGCAAGGGGACTTTCCAGTGAGAGGAAGTCCTACGGTGACAGGGCTGGCAGGTGGGAGGACAAGAAAGTGAAGGACTCCCTCGCGGATCTGGAAGGCCCCAGCTCTCGGAGCTTCAGCACTGGCTCTCGCTCCCGCTACCATCGCTCCTATGCGAAGCAATATTAGAAAGTAAAAGTCCTTACACAGATTTATTAATGCAGTTTGTTTTTTATTTGATTTTTTTTTACATAAATGTATAATTGAATATTTTCAAATAATTTATTTGTGATGTTAACTATATGTAGGCAGTAAATGTTATTTTTATTAATGTTATGTGTATCAGTTTACATACACTATACATATGGAGAAACACTGAGTTTTATAGGACATTCCTTTATGTAAATGATTTGATATCTTATTTGGAATAAAAGCTTTTTTATTGTTTAGTTGATCTGTTTAATAAAAAAAAACACTGAATCGGCTTCAAGAAACGATTTAACTTAAAACTATAAAAATAAGTGTTAACTGCAGATTTGTCGTAGTGGGTATCACTGTATGACAGCCCAGAGAATATTTGTTTAGGCCAAAGATAATCCGTGAAGTGCGATATTAGGTGGAAATGATACATTTCATTAGTAGATAAGATTATTTGTTTTCATTAGTGGCACTGAGAAATATTCATTTGATCTCAATTGCATCTGATCTCTGACGAAGATTGAGGCAGTCTCCGGCAATTTGTAGCATCTTGCTGATTACATTTTGCCTTTTTTATTATGTATCAGTGACAGCTATGCAAGTAACTCTGTAACCCAGTTTTAACGTATGAAGAATATACTGTAAATAAGGACATGATAGATCTATGATTATTATTTGCACAAATAAAATGCTGAATGTAATTTGAAGTAGATAAACTTATGATTTGATGTTAATTCGTCGACAGTCTATGTCTCTCTCAGCATTCTCTGCATTGAAGATATAAATGTATCAATGTATACTGATTAATTCGTGTATCAGATTCTTTATCCAGTAGTATGTCTATGTATTCATTTATTAATTAATTGCGACATTCCTTATGGACCTAGCATCTTCTACTATATGTAAGACGCCAGTTACATTTATAATCTAAATCCTGACTTAACATGTGTAATTTACTCGTGTGTATGGAATGTTGAAATACGTTCTAGATGTAACAAAATGAGTGATCACACAAGTAAATAGTATAAATATGCATTTGCATCTGAAAATTAATTTCTTGTTTCTAGTTCCCAAATTTATGGAATAAGTCTATATAGGTCCTTCTAAGACGGGCCACGAGATCTGATGCTCAGACTATGATGACCCTGAAGTATAAAAAACAAATGAGTAAATAATCGCATTGTAGTTGTTTCTCATTCTGTTGTTGTTATCATTAATCCTCTGTACAAAAAATCTGTCACTGTCTATCAAATCGCCAGTTTACCTGGCTTCAACGATACAATTACATATTTTTAATGTGTTCGTTACTATTTTTTTTCAGAACAATCATTAGGCTAATCATTGAGTGCTGAAGATGTTATTTGAGAATAGTAGGCAACATAATTTCTAAAAAATAATATGTTTAAAGGAAGAAAGACTCGGCAGGGAAAGCTTGTCGAAGAATGTTCTTCAACAATCAGATGCTTATTTCATGGTGGTCCTAGCAACATGAAGTGGCAACATTTCACAGCGTCCCTGAAATTCAGTTATTTCGGTTCTGAATCATCAAATAGCACAGGTAAACTTCAACAATTTTGGCAAAGAGCGAAGTACTATTCCTACCCGCCCTCTCACACCCGCGCTTCATCCAACGCTATAAAAGTGTTGGTCCCATCGAGCGCCTTCAGTATCGCAAGCATACGTCCGCCGCCTCAGCTCCTCTCAAGTACTCTCCCCAATGGCTTCCAGCGATGACGTGGGACTTTCCCAGTCCGGTATTAAGTGCAGAAGATGCGGAGGATCGTCTCTGAGTTCGTGGGATCTGTTTCTACCCATCACTCGAAGAGGAAGTTTCTTTCAAGACTCGTTCTTTTCGAATATACACCATGACTTCGATGCCGCCATTAGGGAGGTACTAGGCAGGTGGAATGAACCGGATCTCAAGGTAACAGATAGTAGGGATGACGTCAGCCGTCGTTATAGACGACTTCGATCTCAGAATATGAATGAAGAAAGTCAGGCAGTCACCGTCACGTCAGACAACACAGGACACAAAGTGAGTTACAC